CCAATCTAATTATGATGACAGAAATCCAACACCATAAATCCATCCAACAATGCCACCACTCAACAAAAGATACATCCTGGCAGTACTTCAACCAAACCTGCCTGGCAGGCCTGCTGTGACTACTTGTTTCAAGGCACCTCACAATTGAGAGGATGCTGCAGACATCATTTCCTAGCACCTGGATTTGCAGAACATCAGAAACCCCTTTGACTGGGGTGCTGCTAAGCTGAAGAGGTGTTTGGGGGATTATGTTTAGTCATTAACTATTATAAACACGAATCCCCAGCAGTTACAAGATCATACATCCAGATGATGGAACAGGATGTCAACCTTTATGTTTGTTAGTAGCCTAATGTTCTCACTTTAATCCAGCACAGTGTGTGAGCATACAATGTGTAAGCCATGCTTTCTTACATACATGTTCAAACATGACTTCATCTGCATGTGTCGATGAAGATGTCAGGAGTGATACTATTAACGATATACCTGATGTAGCTATTGTGTCTAACATCTCTAAGGTCTGATAGTTTTGGAAAGCCAATATCACTTCTTGTGGTAGCCAACATCAGAAAGAAATCATACCTTCTGAGTATTATCAATCAGTTATATTATCCTGAGTTCAAGAATAAGGATGGAAAACCTGTGGCCCTCCAGCTATTACTCAAGTATAACACCCAATATGGCTAACATTGTACTTATTGACTAGGTCTAATGGCAGTTGACCTCAACACCATCTAGGGGGCCACAAACTACACTTAAACTAACATTATGGGGGAGGTGTATGTGGATGAGTACTTGTGACTACATTTAATCTGAGCCATACACAGAATCTGTGCACACAGAGACCTTCTGGCTGCCATTATAGACCTGGATACTTCCACTTGTCTTGCCCCATCCACAAAGCTCAGAGGTCCTCAAGAGGAAGCTGTTTCTGGAAGGATTCAGAGGCAAAGAGAGACTTTCTGTCTGTCACAAAATAGACAGTGAACATTTGTTCCCATTTAGTCTTATGAATACATGGTTAATGTATTGAGGATGACCCTGTCATGAGGAGGAGACATGACAAGTAATGCAAACCCACTAGGGGACTGTTGTGAAGTTAACCTGAGTGTGAAGTGGGTTGTGAAAACAATTTGTTACAGTTTTGACAACTACCATTACTGTAATAATTGTTGATGCGGCTTCAGTTTGTCATATCTAGGCAGAAATCTCCATTTGGTTTATTTTATAAAAGAAACATTTGTATCAATTGTTACTGAAACATGATTGAAATGTTAATAGTATGCTTGAGATATACAGCCAATAGTACTGAAATGTCTATTTTTATGTATTCTAGTGTCTGATTCTTTCTCTTGTATTTTATGAGCCACCTTGAGCACAGTTTCCTTTTCAAAAAGGTAGCATATAAATAAAAATCTAATCTAATCTAGTTGCTGGACAAAGTAAATAAAGATTGTGGTGCCAAGGTGAGATTCTTAAGTACTTCTAGTGCAAGGGATTATTTACCATCAAGTCATGGGTGACAAATTCTAGTACAATATGCAAAGCAAATTGAAAGAATATCTGATAATATGTCAAAGAAGTATCTGCCTGAAACATTACAACAATATTCTGGGCTTCAGCTAGCAGTACTAGTGGCTTCCATGTCAGTAGTTGGAGCTTCAAAAGAGTGATCCAGAGTGTTGAGCCCTACTTGCCAAAAAGGTTCAGCAGCACCTTGGATAGCTCCTTTAAAGTAATGATGGAACTCAATGTAAATTCATTAAATGAACTGCTGAAGTAGGATCCATGGACAATAAATCCCATGATCCCTTAGCATTGTCTATGCTAGCTGGGGCTTCTGGAACATAACATCCAAAACATCTAGAGAGTGACAGTTTTCTGAAAGCTACATTACAGTATTGCTTTTGTGAGACACCATAGCTCAGTGGCAGAGCACACACTTTGCATGATAAAGTTTCCATGTTCAATCCCTAGCATTGCCAAGTAAAATATCTTCTCTTGGACACCAGCATGGATGGTGATAGGCAACTACTGACCAGTTAGCTTGATGTTGATATCAGGAAAGGTTCTAGAACAGATCATTAGTCAGTCAGTCTGTGAATACTTAGAAAGCGATGTTATAATTGCTAAGAATCAGCATGAGTTTCTCAAAAACATGCCATGCCAGACTAATCTTATCTCTTTTTCTAATAGAGTTACAATCTTGGTAGCTCAAGGGAATGCTGTGCATGGAGCATATCTTGATTTCAATAAAGCTTTTGACAAGGTGTTCCATGTAGCCAAGCTGGTGACTAGATTATGCTATTTTTAGATGGATTTGTAACTGATTGATGGACTGAACCCTAAGAATGGTCACCAATTGTTCATCCTGGAGAGAATTGACTAATGGGATGCCACAGGGTTCTGTCCTAGGCCCAGTGTTGTTCAGTATCTTTATAAATGTGGGCAAGCTTATCAGGTTTGTAGATGGCACCCAATTAGCAGGTGTAGCTGATACAACAGAGTACCATGATTTAAAATAACGTTAAAAAACTGAAGAGGTGGCCAAAACTAACAAAATGAATTTCAGGGGCAACAGTTGTAAGATGGTATGCTTAGGCAGGAAAAAGGAAATCAAAAATATAGGATGAGTGACACATAGCTTGATAATGGAAATTAAGCTGGGTTCGTCTGTTTTGAGCTCCTTGTATGCAATGTTGTTCAGCATGGCCTTTGATGTTTGAACCTGCTCTGTTTTGTTTTTGGAAACACATGTAAGGATTGTGTTTTTTAACAATTTTAAAGTGTATTTTAATGTTTCTTAAATAAAATAAAATAAGAAATGCTTTTATCTATTGTGCATCACATGAGGTGCCCCTGTGGGAGGGGAGGCAAAATATAAATGCCAAAATCCTTCATGACTTTGCTTTAAAGTTACTTTAAGTAACTTTACATTCACTAGCCAAGACGCTTAAAAAAATCCCTTTACTTGAATTACAAAGATGCATTAATGGGACACTGGCAAGAGTGCTCAATGTGCATCAATAGAGCTTGATGTACATCAGAACCTTCTCATCAATATGTCATCACAATTTAAAGGCCCATCATGCATTGGAGACCCGTCACTGATTAAAGACCATCGCACATCAGTTTCTATTTCCTTTACCAGTACACATCAGTCACTTTGCCAGTGGTGCTACATAGATCCCATATATACTTGACTATAAGTCAACCTCATTTATAAATTGAGGGCAGGTTTTGGAACCAAAATTATGAATTTTGATATAACTCATGTATAATAAATAGTAGTAATAATAATAATAATAACAACAACAACAACTTTATTCTTATATCCTACCTTTCTGCCAAAACAATCAAGGCAGCTCACATAGAATAAAATTAAATTTAAATAAAACATACCTGGCATTAAAACAATAATAACCCCCCCTTTAAAAGTCCATTTATGAAAATGTAAGACCCCCCCAACAGGATAAATAAATAACTATAAAAGTGAGAAGGGTTCAGGAATCTTAGGAGACCACAAACTAAATATGTCAGTGGTGTGATGCAGGAGACAAAAAGGTCAATGGAATTCTAGATTGAATCAATGAGATAAAGTGCTCAGAATGAGAGAAGCAATGCTACCACTGGATTTGGTTGGTCATACCTTCCCTGGAATACTGTGTCCAGTTCTGGAAACCATAGTTCAAGAAGCATATTGACAAGCTGAAATGTGTGCAGAGAAGGATGGCCAAAATGCTAAAAGACCTGGAAACTAAGCTGTATGAGGAATGCCTTAAGGAGTTAGGTATGTTTAGCTAGGAGAAGAGCCTGGTGAGGAGTGACATGATAGCCTTTTTTTAATATTTGAAAGGATGTCACATAGAAGATGTAGCTAGTTAGTATTCTCTTGTCTGGGACACAACTCAAGAATTCAAATGGCAAGAAAATAAGATGATTCCACCCAAACAATCCTGAAGGAAAAGATTCAAATGGTAAGAAAAACGATTCCACCTAAACATTACGAAGAACCTCCTGGCAATAAAAGCTGTTTGACAGTGGGATGGACTGCCTTGAGGGGTGGTAGACATTCCTTTTTTGGAGGTCTTTAAACAGTGGTTGGTTATCCATCTCTCAGGAGTGCTTTAGTCATGGCAGGTATTCAATTGATTCAGTGGCCCTTGGGTGTGTTTTCAACTCTATGATTCTATGAGAAGGATGTTTGGTTGGTTAAATTAAAACATTGATCCATTAGTAAACAAGGCAAAATTTATGCCAGAGATTTTAGGAAAGATGGTGAAAACAAGCTGCTAGTAATGATTGCTAATAATGATGTAATGACTGCTGCACCTTTGATTGATCCACCTCAAGCAAGATATATTAAAAAGGATATAGAAAAGGGTGCCTTCAGTTTGTAGAAGAGAAGGCTTAGATGATAACCAATTTTTAAAATATCTGAAGGGATATAATGCAGAATATAGAGCAGACTTGTTTTCTCCTCTCCAGAGTCTAGGATACATTCTAATGGATTTGAATTGCAAGAAAAGAGAATCATCCCAAGGATTAGGGAAAACTTCCAGGTAATAAGAGCTGCTTCACAGTGGACTGGATCTCCTTGGAAGATGGTGGACTCTCCTTCAGTAGTAAGCAATGGGGCTATCACTCTTTCATCTGCCATCTGAGGGTCATTGTTCAGATCTAAAGGCCCCAAGAAAGGTAGGGCAGAAAGAGAAATTAGAGGTTTATTGGGACAGCGCAAGAGTAAGAATGTGGGGAAAAGAAGAAAAACACCTGGAAAAAGGTTTACTTACTATGTTCTACCAACAGGTCATTAATTCATTTATAATATATCATCACTTCTAGTCACTTCCTGTCTTTACAGGATTTTTTTTTTTTTTTAGTTGTTATGTGTACCTTCAAGTCATTTCTGACTCATGATGACCCTAAGGCAAACCTATCACAGAGTTGTCTGGGGCTGAGATTGTGTGATTCACCCAAAGTCACTCAGTGGGTTTCCATGGATCAGCAGGGAATTGAACCCTGATCTCCAGAGTCATAGACCAATGTTCAAGCCACTACAACACACTGGCTCCTTCAGGAAAGATTCCTAAAATATTTGATTCAAGTTTGATTACCTCTCTCCGCTTCTTTTCCTCTCTGTTTTAAATGGCAATTCATGTTTTAGCAAAAAACCTACCA